GGAAACCATTTTCGAGGAGGAACAAACAGCAAAGGAGCGGGAACTCGAGAAATTGAGGTAGCTTTTGTTTGCCGTAAAATGATAATATTTTATAATTTAATCAGTTTTTGCATTTTTACGTCATCAACATAGTTAGATGGAAGACAAAGGGTGGTAGTGTAGTGAATAACATTTCATGGTTCGGATTTGGAGGCAATAAGGATGAGAGATTCGTTTCGCCCCCGATCCATATCTCTCCGTTCACCACAGCATATTGCCGAGTGAACTTTGCATTCATATGTAAGCAGAAGATTTAAAATCATCGGCACTGCTCTATTTCCGCAACTTGGTACGCTAGGAAGCTGAAGTTTTGTGGCATTTTCTCCATGCGCGGGTCCTCATACCACTAAACTAGTTTTCATGAAATTTTACGTTTCACGGAAGCGTTAAACATGAAATCGCCAAATTGTTTGTATCTTTTCTATGCAGAACCAGACAAGTCAGAATGCTCAAGTTTTCTAGGTTTGAATAAGGCGTAAAACAAATGCTGAATTACATGGAGCTATTTATTTATTACTTGTTTCTTGACGACGATATAATGAAAGGAATATAAAAATTTCAAAAAATTTAGGATACTGAACGCGGAACTCGCAGCTGCATATAACGATCTGAATAAAGAATTTGAGAGCCATAAAGCGGAGCATGGTTCTGTGGTTGTTTCAAATCGGGATTTAAGTGCTCGCATTGGTAGCTTTTTATTCGAATCATTTCCGCTGTCTTCATTTTAACAGTGAAACAATAAAAAAATCGGAATCTCCGTGTTAATGAAGAGATAATTATCCTTTATAAACTCATAGGCTTTAGGAAAAATTATTTTTGACTTGTCTTAATTTTTTTTAAAAAAAATAAACGAAAAATATTTAGACGCATTGAAAGCGAATCTCATTGAATATGAAGAGCGTTACGAATTGTGTCGAAATGAGAATGCTGAAACAGTGCAGCAGCTCGAGAAGCTTTCAAACGATTTTGATCGTCTACGACTATCATTATCAAAAAACACCGCGGTGGAAGTGGTATGTTCCAGTTTACGTCCTGGTTCATCGCTTTTAGAGGGGCACTGTACTTAAATATTGCCAGCAGCCAAGTTTAGTAAACCTTTTTTATCAGACCCTGGTTTCTACCTCCACCTTTCTTTCTCACCAATTGTCCTCTCTTTCGACTTCTCTCTTACACTTCCTTTTTCTTCTTTCTTCTCATTACGCATTGCGACCGTCATAATGACGAGATCCAGTCGTAGTACTGAATTAAGAAATATATGACTTAATGGACCGAAACGTTTTATCTCGCTCTCACCTTCACCAATGTACACTACTACTTTCTCCTACTCAATCACACTCTGCCACCTACACTTCCAGGGTTAACCTCGAAGCTGCCATCTGCTTAGTAACATTGTACTGCCGTGAAATAATGGATTATTAAGCAACTTATGAAAAAGAGGGCTTCTCTGTTCATCCAAGCGTATAAATGAGCTGGGTGACTTAATGGGTGCATGATCAAGTGGACTTTAGAGCACTTGCTTCCTGTACTAGCTAGTATTTATTTGTAACAGGGAGTTAACTGTTATTTTAAACTGTGTGTGTATTTATCCAAGAAGCGATTTGCTGCGATATTAATCTGAACAGGATTACTCATTGAAAGAGAAAGCTAAAGCCAGTAGTGTCTTCACTGCCATGGTTTGGTGTTTTAACCCAAAATGCTTACCAGAAAAGTCACCTTGTGCGATTCTAATTTCGTCTTTGGTGATTCTTCCCGTTCTTACTACAGTCTGGTTGCTGCGTCTACGCAACTCAGTGCAAATTGTTGGCCTGTTCTAGCTTCTCTTTTTATGTTTATCATGGCTGGCGAGCCACTCTTCGGTCTTCGTTGTCCACTTGCTGTCGTTTTCCATAACCGAGATAACGATTAAAATGCTCAGTTAGTGGTCAGCTTCTGCTTTCTTGATAATAATACATGCCTGATTTGATAGCCGGCCTTTAATTGGCTGTTTCGGTGCAGTATTTTTAAAGCGATTATTTTTTTTTTATGGCTTTCTTTGAGGCTTTTCTGTTAAATCCTTTAAGGGATGCACATTCGAAAGGAATGAGTGTATTTTTTGAGGATGAACTAAAAAGGCTTCGTACTGAATTGGATGTCTCGAAGGGTGATCGAGAGAAGTTGCGCGCTGATGTTGAACGCTTCCGCGCAGCTATTGGTGTCATCGATAAGGAACTGAATAGATTACGGTAAATTCTATAGTATTTTTCGTCTTTTCTGTTTATTAAATTCAAGTAATTTTATGTTTTTGACGGGACCTGCTAATGCTTCGTTATAATTCAGGGAATCCAATGATAAACTGATGGCGGACAACAAGGCTTTGGGTTCCAGCTTGGAAAGGTTCACCGAAATCCGTAACATGCTTGAGAACAGCGATAGCGAATTAAGGAGCCTTCGGGAGAAGTTTGTGCAGCTTCAAGAGGAACACCAGTTGAAGGTACCAATGT